CATTTTAATATGTGCTTTTATTTTGACAGGATTTGAATACATTTTAATATGTGCTTTTATTTTGACAGGATTTAAATAAATTTTATATGTGCTTTTATTTTGACAGGATTTAAATAACTTTTAATTTGTGCTTTTATTTTGACAGGATTTAACTAAAAGTGATTTTCTTCATCCTTCAGAGCAGAAACCTGTCATCAGACACCCTCTTCCACTGCAAAACACAGGAGGAGCATAAGGAGGAGAAGCAGGAGGAGATACAGAAGGAGGAGAAGCAGGAGGAAAAGGAGGAGACCCTGAAGGAGCCGCAGCAGCGTCTCGTGTGTCGAGCTTCTCCTCAGATGAACCTCCTGACCACCATGTTCAGACTGAGGAGAGAACTGCACCGAGCTGAGGAGCAGAAGACCAAGGTGAGCAGCAACAGGAGGTGGAGGAGGTGCACAGGAAGCTCTAAGGAGCTCAGTGGGATCATCTCTGACACCGGCTGTTTGTTCACAGAGCGTGGAGGAGAAGGAGGAGCTGGATCTCCGCTGCGCTCAGCTGAAAGGAGACGTCAAGATGTACCGGCAGCAGAACAAACAGACGCTGCGGCAGCTGGAGGAGGTGATCAGGGAGAGAGACAAGGTGAGGAGGGAGGGAGCAGGAGAAGGGAAGAGTCAGTCACCTTTGACCTCTGACCTCTGCTCGGTCTTTCAGGCTCTGGTGTCTCAGGCGCAGCAGCAGGAGGAGGTGCGCCTGCTCCTGCAGGAGAAGGATCAGTACCGGGAGCAGGTCCGGCACCTCGCAGAGAAATCTGACAAGATGGAACTCCTCCTGCTGAGGTCTCAGGGGGAGGAGCTACAGCTGAGGACACGCATCCGCAGGATGACTTACAACTCCCAACAGGTGAGGAGGAGGAGGAGGAGGAGGAGGAAGGTAGAGGTGATGATGATTTAAAATGAAGATTTCTCCTTCAGTTTGAAAGGAGCGTCAGCAGCGAGGAAGAGGAGGAGCCCACTGAGAGCGCCTCTAAAGGTCAGGGTTATTTAAGTTTTATGATGTCACCTGACAAGAGAATATTCAACCAATCAGAAAGCTTTATTTACAATCTGTGGTGCCCAAGTGATGTCATGTGACCTGTCTGAGGTGATGTCATATGACCTGTCTGAGATGATGTCATGTGACCTGCCTAATGAGATGATTTCATGTGACCTGTCTGATGAGATGATGTCATGTGACCTGTCTGAGGTGATGTCATGTGACCTGTCTGAGGTGATGATGTCATGTGACCTGTCTGATGAGATGATGTCATGTGACCTGTCTGATGACATGATGTCATGTGACCTGTCTGAGGTGATGATGTCATGTGACCTGTCTGAGATGATGTCATGTGACCTGTCTGAGATGATGTCATGTGACCTGTCTGAGGTGATGTCATGTGACCTGTCTGATGAGATGATATCATGTGACCTGTCTGATGAGATGATGTCATGTGACCTGTCTGATGAGATGATGTCATGTGACCTGTCTGATGAGATGATGTCATGTGACCTGTCTGATGAGATGATGTCATGTGACCTGTCTGAGATGATATCATGTGACCTGTCTAATGAGATGATGTCATGTGACCTGCCTGATGAGATGATGTCATGTTAATCTGAGGTGGCTTCATGGGATTTTCTGCCCTGCTTTGAGTCTTCCAGGCAGCAGTGAGGAGGTGCACAGTGGGACGTCAGGAGAGAACGAGGAGGTGGTCCTCCAGCAGCAGGAGCACTGTTCTCCTGTAGGAAGAGCCAGAGAGGCCGAGCACAGGCCCAGCAACACTGCATCATGGGTAATATTCCTTACTGGATTAGTACCTGATACATACTCAGTAAGTACTGTATATGTATCTGGTAGATACCTGGTATGTACTTGGTAAGTATCAATTACTTACCTTATGTACTCAAAAATACCAGGAACAAATCAGGCAAATACTGGTACAAACTTGGTGAGTACCAGGTACATATTAAGTAAGTACCTGATAAGTATGTATCAGGAGTGTATGCGGTAAGTAATTGGTATGTACAGGGTACATAATGACTATGTAGCTAATACTCCTCCAATTTGTACCAAGTACATACTCAGTAAGTATCTATTACTTACCTGATATGTACTCTGTGAGTACAGGGTACATACTAGGTAGTATCTGGTACTAAACCTTGACAAACTTGAGTATCTGGTAAGAACTGAGTACATCATTGAAGAGTACCTGGTAGAAACTTTGGATGTACTAGGTACAAATCAAGAAGGTACCTGATATTTACTGGGTAGTATTTGTATTTCTACTTTTTATTGAACCCTCCTCCTCATCAGGTTTGGGTTTTTCTCTGCAGGACAAGCAGACGGAGGACTTGATCTCCTCCATGACTCGGTCCAACTTTTGTTACCGCAGGTGAGCAGGAGCTTCTGCAGACAGTTTTTCAGAGCTTCAGCTGCTGCTGGGACCCACCTGACAGGTGTTCTTGTTCCCACAACAACAGGAAGCGAGCCCTGAGGTCAAAGTTCAACAGTACTGAGTACGTAGGCAATACCCTGGACGAGAGCAGCGGCAGCGAGATCACCGAGTCCGACTGAGGTCACGGGACGAGTCTGAAGGGTCGGCCTGAAACCTCCCATGATGCTTTGCTCCTGCTCTGACCTGTGGAGCAGAAACCAGATGTTCCAGCTTAACATCTGTTCCTGTCGTGTTTTTCTTCCTGGTATCAAATCAGATCTGAGCTTTTTCTGCTTCAAATCAGACTTTTTTTCAGTTTCAGAAAAATAATAATAACTAGAGAATTTGCATTTCCTGGTTCAGAGCCTCAGGACCGCTGCAGCTCAGGGCTTCAATTTATTACCTTTAGTTTTTATTTTATTACAAAAGTTGCAAAACAAATTTATTTCATGTTTTCGTTTTTATCAAAGCATTCAAAATTTCAGGCTGCTACACATTAAAATACCTTTTTCTATATAAATACAGAGATTTCCGAATGACTTTTCTAAAGAAGCTGTAAGCTAAAAAGGGCTAGCTAAAATTAGCAAAATGTTAGCTTAACTTTAGCAGTAAAACTAGCAGAGGCTGGGTTTCTAAAGGATTCAAAGGGATCTTAATGTAGTTTTAAAAATAATTTGTTGAATATTAATAATTTTACAAAGATGAAATCACAGCTGGTCTCCAGCTGAATGTTTTCAGGTATAAACAGCTAAAATATAACAGAGAAGCTAAACGTAAGAAACAAAAAAAGGAGTGAATCTGCCTGAATATTCAGACAGTAACACTGTGACCACACGTTGTTGGATGTGCTCATGTGAGGTGATTTAATTTGTTCAAACCATGTCCGACACGACAAAGTGTTTAACAAAACATCAAGTCAGCAGCTGAAAAAACAAACTATATGTTTCAGATTAACAAAGATTTTAATGTTTTAAACTTATTTTTTCTGTCAAACACTGAGTTTGAATGAGAAAAATAAATGAGAATAAAATAATTAGAACTGTTTTTGTTGAGTTTTTTGTGAAATAAATGTTTTGTTTCAGCAACAGACACACAAACAAACAAACAAACAAACAACAAACAAACTACTTCCCTCAACATTAAACTGTCTGCGCCCCCTGCTGGTGGATAAATCTAACTACACAGGAAACTCCAGGAAGTTGTTCTTCTTCTGTGGTTCGTCAGCAAACAGCCAATCAGCTGTCAGGTGTTTGTGTGACGGATGTGTGTCAGAGTGTGTATCTCTTGTCTCCAGTGTGAGTTCCAGCTGTGTTCTTCACTCAGGTGTCTCCGTTTGTCCTCATCTGAGCGAGACGTCTCCGACTGGAGCAGCTGCTGGAACCGCTGACACACACACACACACACACACACACACACACACATACACACACAGAGAGAGAGAGAGAGAGAGAGAGCTATAAAACACAGTTAAAGATGTGATACACTTGTGTTTGTGTGTGTGTGTGTGTGTGTGTGTGTGTGTGTGTGTGTGTGTGTGTGTGTGTGTGTGTGTGTGTGTGTGTGT